CCCCCCCCCCCAGCCTCCTCACTGGTGGGGAGGGGTGAGGAGCAGAAGAGGCCTTGGCTCTCTGTAAGCCCTGCTCAGCAGTAACGAAAACAGCCCGGTGTTATCAGCACTGTTTCCAGCACAAATCCAAAATGCAGCCCCGTAACCAGCTACTGTGAAGAAAATTAACTCTGCCCCAGCCAAAGGCAACACAATGCCCCACGCTAAAGGCTACAGCCCTTTGATTTGCGCATTTATATTACTACCCTGGGGTCTGCTCACGCAGCACTTGCCTGGATATGCACAACTTAAAGCCACTTTTCTGTCTCTGTGCGTACAGTCCCTGTTCAGTCCAAATGCTCGAGCGCAGCATGGGAGGGTTTATCAAGTGTAGCCCTTCCCTCACTTCCCAGTGTGGGAAAACCCCCTCCTGCAGTGCCTTCACCTCTCCTCCCTGGGTATTTCCACCACAGGGGAACTGTCAAAGAAAAATCTGCCAAAGGCACAGAGGTGAGCTGACCTGTCGGCTGTGCCGGTGGAAGAGGAAGGGGAGCCGTGCATTCAGCTGACAGCACAACTCGCTTAGCGCACTGCGCCGACGAGCTGCCTGGTAACACGTAACATGGCAGGGCGGTCTAATCCTTCCTCCCTCATCCTTTTGCACAGATCAAAGTGTGAACATCAGTAACAAGCATTTAATAATTTGAAATTAATGAAATGCTCGAGGAGAGGTGGAAGGAAATCATGTAACTGAAGTTGAATGCCAGGAGAAAATGATAAACATGCTTGGCTGTTTTTACAGGCCGCAGTTCTTTCTGTAATTATCACAGTAGATGCCCACGTGCAGATAGGGATCTTTTGCCTTTGAGAATTAAATAATGCTTGTGCAAGTCGCACATAACATCTAGGTGCCATAAAACCACCTGAGCCCTGGGAGATAAAACAAAATGAGCTATACAAGTGCTGCAGTTAGAAGAAACTGTCAACACCCACCAGCGATAAGCCCGCTAGCATGCAGCAAGCAAGATTATCAGTTTTCTTAAAACTGAACTTTGGAAATATCAATATATTTTTCCATGAACTTATCAAGAAGAAGAGCTGCAATTATAACTGCTGCTACACCTGAAGCAATGCGGTCGTGCAAGCTTAGAAACAAAACCCACGCTTGTATGAGCATGCACCTGTTAAACACTCGTAAAGATTAGCAATCCAAAGGTTAGTGGCACTTCCCAGTCTCGGGCATTAGCAATAGAAATTCCAGAAGATTTCAGCTGTCTGAGGGTAACATAGAAGAACAACAAAAATTGCCACGGTCTCACTGGCATTCGTTGCAGCACACAGTCTCTACCTCTGTCAGGCCCTTTGGCAACTGTTATTTTCACTCGGGAAGCAAATTTACGTGATGCAGAAGAAACGCATGTCCGTAGCACGTGCCACGTATAGGTGGAAACCGTTACAGGTGAACCGTAACCTGTATCTCCATTAGCAAAAGCCCGTAGCTGTAACTTGCCAAGGGTGCTGACTTCAGGGGCTGTACGAGGTCATCTATGGACAAATGCCATGTCAGTACGGCAAGCGCCATTGCATCATTATATCCGCGTCTCGGGAAATTAAGGGTAACTCGTGTCATATCAGCATGACACTACCTGATCCTCTCAATTCAAGATCAGTTTTGGTTTGGTTGGTTGGTTGGTTGGTTTTTTTAATATATGGTATCTGGGACTAACACATACGTAGGCTCAACCACCAACCCCTTTCCAGAAAGGTGGTGTGAAACAGCTGACATGCGCAGGGCAGCAGCGTTC